ATAGATTTCATATCTTTCAGTTTATGTAAACTATTTGTAATGCTACATTTAAAAAAAGACATTCTACCAGGTTTATTTCATTGTATTGACAAAAACTTAATTACTCTATCGTTATATGCTTTGAATGAAAATTCTTTAAGTCCCTTCTATTGTTGTTTCTTATTGTGTATCTAAATGACACTAGCCTAAAGAGTGAATTATTTCAGATTAGAATTTCAATTAAAGGTATATTTATATCAGAGCCCAATGACTCAGTACGGAGAAAATATAAACATTATTTTTTCATTAAAAATATGTAGATCCAGAACTTTAAATAAAAATGTAAAAATCCTTACAAAAACACTCTAAAAGAAATAAAAAATTATTAAGCTGGGTAGTAGCAAAGGAAACTTGGCTAATAAAAAGCAAATAAATAAATTGAAAATATGTAAAGAGAGGAAAAGAAAACGGTAAGGTCAGACATTATATTTTCCGATACTTTACATTTTCATAGTTTTGATTCCAGTTAACACAGGTGGATTATATTTATCAGTCTCTGAAATATAAAATCATTAAACTAGTCCAGAACTTAGTAGGTTATGATCATAATGATGTTTCAAAAAATACGAACGGGGACTAGGAGATATCATACTGAGCATTTCCCTCGGAACTTCTTTCTGTATTTCGTAAGGAAATATTAACAGAGTAAAATGGACGGCTTTCCGAGTAATGTCGGACTAAATATTAAGATGTGGTATATATCAAGTGTGGATATTACAAACTCCAATAAATTTGCAAGATTTACAGTCACAAACATTTTGCCAAATCAATTGCATTTTTAAAAAAAATGCAACTAAAACAATCTTTTTTCCCCCTTCAATACGCAATCAAAGGAATTGGAGCAATTGATATAAGTAATATTCTTAATCACAAAAGGGCCCAGTCTTGTATTCCACCATACTTCAAGTCAAAGAATACACCTTGTATTTCCTACAAATATACATCGACTATTACTTCCAAACTTTTTGATTACAAAAAAAAAACTTTACAGAGCCTGGATATCGAATATATGGAACATAATTCTACATTGTGTTCATTTTCTTCTTCACCCTATATTTAAAGTCCTGCAGACACGTTATTACTAGTGAATATAGTTAATAATAAGGACCTTAGATCACTTAACATTTGAAATCACAAAATTTTACCGAATCAACAGTATAAAAACCTATGACTTTTCGACTTTATTTACAACCAACAATTCCCCATGATAAATTAAAGTGTCGAACTTTCTCATTGACAGCTGCTTTTTCAATAAAATTGGAACTTGTAAATTTACTTACCTTGTTATTGGTCATTTGCAAAATTATTTTGTTAAAAAAACATTCTGATTATACACACAAGTACTCTGAAGTTGACATCAGAAAGATGCTAGAGTTACTGATTGACAATATCTATTTATTTTTTGAGATCAGGTCTTTAAACAATCTATTGGAATTCTCATGTGTACCAAATGCGCCTTGTTATTAGCAGACCTATTTTTGTATTCATATGAAGCAGAATTTATCCAAAATCTTATACATGAAAAGAAGAAATCACTTGCTGTGTCCTTCATCTCAACATTTAGATATTTAGACGCCGTATTGTCAATTAACAATGGTAATTTCCATTCTTACGTCGATTAGATATATCCCATTGAGCTTGACATTAATGATATCACAGAGTTTGTTTCATATTTGGATATTTTACTTGAAAAAGACGTTGATGGCTCTATCATAAACGTGATGACTTTAACTATTCTATCATCAATCTCCCTTACTTATGCAGCAATATGCAACAATATACCCTCCTCGCCTACATACGAAGTTCATATCTCAGTTGATTCGAAACGCAAGAGCATGCTCTACGTATGAACAATGTCTAAAACGAGGTAAATTATTGACAAACAAGTTGATGAAACAAGAATATCAACTTTCTCGTTTAAAGTTATCATTTTGTGAGTTCTATGGTCGATACAATGACCCTGCCAGCAAATACAACTTATCATTGAGTCAAATGCAGACTGACTTTTTTCATAATGATTGTTAAGTCATTTTATATAACTATATTGACGACGGATTTTTCTTTTATTTCCACATGGAGCACACAGCGAATGTGACCGGTCGGCAGGGGACGCTCACTCCTCCATGGCACCTGATCACATTTCTGATGGTTTGGAGGTCCATGTTTGCTCTGCTCCTGATTTTAATTGTTTTATGGACCTTTAAGCTTGGATACAGTTCGTTTTCTCCAAATGTTCCTTGTAATTAGCTGTCATACGGGGGCATCAGTGTTTCACAAACATATTTTGTTCTATAAATTAAACACCAGTAATAGCTTTATAAGTACTAATTTATTCAAAAGAATATTCATATGACTACCTCTTCATCACATCACTGAATAACATGAACATTACTTTTATCGTGTTTTGTGCGGGATGACCAGGATCTTCCATTCGACCAGTCTACTGCTGTAAAAATTCAATATATTCAAAGGACAGAAGTTATTGTGATGAGGTCAGGGACCCGGACAAACGGGAATTCCTTTTGACAGAACTCAGTTGGGCTCATTCTTCATTCCAGATACATGTATCTTTGAATATCATGGAGAATCAAGTTCAGTTGTTCTTATGCATAGATGTTCTTCTTTGAGTAAATACTATGGATATGTATTTCTATCAGAATCCAAAGTTGCATTTTTATGTAATCATGGTAGACTAGGGTGAAGTGAAAATTGGATAATGGAGTTTACCACTTGCTTATTATGGCTGCCTATCGAAGATACAATAGGTAATGTGACAGCATAAATCTTCACTTGCTTGTGGTGTCATTACGTTGGATAGAGTGTGATTTAACAAATGCAATTCTGTGGTGCTCTTGCTGTTCTTCGAAGATTTCTTCTACAATAGAAACCCCTTTCCTTATTTGACTTATTTGGTGAGTCAGAATGATGATTTATTAACTTTTTTGAAAAATCAAATTGTACGAAATAATCTCTGCATCAACGTAAATTCATTATTTGATTTTCTTTTTTCGCAAATTCTTATCTCAATGTTGGAGAAAGCATTGAGGATTATCAGACGTAACGAAGAACTTTGCTGAAATACACATCACAGAGTGGGTCACACATGTTTCATGTATTAGTTTGTTTCACTGATAGGAGAACTCAAGAGAATGTTCTGAGAATGATAAATTTTTAAACTGAGCAGGCTACAAATACATAAGTTGATGCAACCTAGTTTAAAAATTAAATTTTGCATTTAGTAAATTCTTTGGTTGTAATGCTTTTTGTCCCCCGCTTGAAAAGTGGGGGATATTAATTTGGGTTTGTCCGTCCGTCCGTCCGTCCGTCCGTCCGTCTTTCTGTCTGTCTGTAACGCTTTCGTTTCCACACGATATCTCGAGAACCCTTTGAGCTTTTGCAATGAAATTTAGCATAGCAACTCCCTATGGACTAAAGAAGACCCCTATTAATTTTGAGGTCAAAAGGTCAAAGGTCAAGGTCATAAATAAGCAAATCCTGTCTGTTAAAACACTTTCGTTTCCACACGATATCTCTAGAACCATTTGAGCTATTGCAATGAAATTTTATATAACAACTCCCTGTGGCCTAATGAAGACCCCTATTGATTTTGAGGTCAAAAGGTCAAAGTTCAAGGTCGTAAATTTATACATTCTGTCTGTGTGTAGTACTATCATTTCCGGGCGATATTTCAAGAAGATTTTGAGCTTATGCAATGTAATTTTATACCAAAACTCCCTAGGACATGTCGCTATTTTTAGCGCAGGGGCATGAGGAGAGTTACTGCGTATAAAACAGGTTCTCGGCGGACTTTATGTTCTTATTACATCTATTAGAACTGTTTAATAAAGGCTAAATAAATCAAACACCATGGATTGTGTAAAATTTTGAGAATACCGAACATGAAAACATGAATATTTTCATGTATGTGACTTCAGTTCTGCATATACTTCGCATTAGTTAAAGCGATTCCGTGGTCTAGTGGTTATGTCGCTCGCTTCAAATGTGAGAGGTCCCGGGATCGAATCTCGGTCGGTCCTTTCTTTTTTTTTTTTTAAATACTTTTTTTTTTTTACTAAATGATAGTATTCAGCATGTGAAATGAAAAATTTATGAGGTTATAAAATCATCATTACAGTGTGATAAATATTCCATATAAAAAAATCTTCTATACACATAATAAAGAATAAGCAATCAAATCTTTATATGCATATTGACATACATGTATTTCATTTGCTTCAGTATACATGTATACATTTAATAATTCTACAAATTCAGTCAGGGGGAGCCGACTTTTTCCCTAAGCGGGGGACACGAATTCTCTGAATTAGCTTGTTTGGTTATAGCTTTATATGGCGTAACTGAGCTATATAATAATATGATATTGGGTGCAGATATACATAATAAATGTTATTCTTCGAATTAAATTTTTAACCGATTCTGAGCTTGAGTTACATCACGTTTCTGTAGTAAAATGGACTTTACAATTTGTCTTATTTTTTTGTGGAGGCGTAAGTAAATCATTCCTATGTAATCAAAGATCAAATAGCTTATAAAAATAGTACCAGAATATTCCCCATTGGACATTGGGGACTGACAACGTTTATAGCTAATGAATTTATCTAACAAAATTTAAATACTGTATGAATAACACACCCTAAAGCAAGTGTGAAATAACATACAGCTTGATCTGATGCATACTGAGAAATACATTAAATAACACTCTGAACAAATGTCAACACAGGTTAATATTCCCATCAAGAAAACTCGGGAGAAGATTAAAAAGATAAGAATAAGAAGATTGAAAAATTAATAGCCATTGTTTTCAATTTTTGATAATTTGAAATTGCGATTAATTTAATTTAAATGTATGTGATGAAGAGAAAAATCCTATTTTTATATAAATCATTAAAATAAATGGAAACATTTTCTTATTTGGATTATCTGATATTATTTCTTTTCAGATGGTTGACCTTATTATGGTATTGGCTAAGTGTTGTATCCTCTGTGTCTTACTAATGACGGGTCCATCATCGGCAACCTTAAAATTGCTGGCCTCCTCACCACGTGGTACGTTTGTCCTGTCAATTTCTAGTTCTAACATATTATGGAATTATTCAGATTTATATCAAAATAAAAAGTGTTTGAGTGAATGGCGAGGAAGAATAATTGATTTACTATTTCGTTAGGACGATTAACACCCATTCATGGTGATCGAGAGTGTATTCACAATGAATCTAATTCACACAGGAAAATTGATTGATAATTTAAAGCATTTATCATTTTAAAGAAAGAATCCTTAAATGACCTGTATTCATTGAGATATGGCAATCAACGTAATTTACTATACTTAGACATTTTAAAAATATATATATATAAGAATATATACAGTTTCTAGCATGCTCCTAGCTGCAAAACTGTAGCTCTCTGCTTGAGAAAATTCGGGTACATATAGATCTCTGTTTTATCTGTCCGAATTTTCTCAAACAGTTCTGCAGCTAGCATGTTCCTTGGAAACAAATTATCATTTCATGTTACTTAAAAGTAAAAACTGTACTTGGTACAATATCCAATTTTCAAATCACTGAAATGAGATAAATTCCTTTTTCCTTAACTTAGATTGAAAACTCGTTTTTACATCTTCCATCCGAAATTTGTCATCAGTTCTTATGAAGTCTGTGTTTGTAGTTGATTGTGATTTTGAAAAGGACATGTGTGGGTGGACCATTGGGAGAAACTTTTCGTCCCCTGCGGGCAGTAATCAGTTTTGGGCCCTGTGTCCACGTCTTCCAACCTCCAACGACGTTAAAGACACGTGCGCAGGAAACCTGGGATTCAAGTTCGCGGATCCCTTTTCTCGACATAATATATGTGATAGTAAAAAGCCAGGTAAGTTTGAAGCAACATTTCAGACTTTCCGAAATCAAGTAAAATTTCAAAAAGAGTTTCAAATAAAAGTGACGGATCAATATATTTTTTTCAGAACAATTATTAAAAATATTTCAAATATTGTGAATTGATCTTTTTAGGTTCTCCGTGCCGTAATTTCGTCCTTAGCTCCAGCAACAAAGGGGTAGAGCCTCCTTTTAATGGCCAGTACAGTACCTTCTATACCTCCAACATCTTGAGCGAGGAGCTGCCGGGATTCTTTCTGTACAGGTGCCTCCATTACACCTTTTCCTTAAAAGGTCAGTCTGTTCTTATGGTGTCTTATTTACCCACCATAACAGAAACCAAGACTGACTTCATCTTAAAGGAACACAGAGGACACTGGTTGACTGATCGTTCAGATGAGTGGATCAGCGCTAACAGTTTTGTGAATCTCCCTCTTATTCCAAATTTTAGGGTAAGTTTAAATACAAATGGATAAAGCTATCAAAACAAATCATTATTTCTTTATTTTGATGATAAAACCCAACTTTCCAGGTGGGCTTCATATCTGTGAATGTACCCAGATAAACTTAATTAAAACTTGCAAACTTTAACAGTTTTGCATTCATCAAAAAATATATTAATTTTCCTTAAATTTCAAGCATGTTTTGGAATTAAGCTTACGTGCAACAAAGCATTTCGATACCTACACAGAGTATATCAAGTCAGTGATGAATTTCATCGACAAGCTTATTTTTTTGAAAAGTGAATGTGACTATTTTTGTACTAAACTCATTAAGTAAAAGATATTTTGTAAAGAAACAAGTGTAACCAATCTTATATTTTCACCATATTGTCTGGCAAATATGTCATTTTGGATATTTTGATAACGACTGATATTCAAGCTCAAACGTTCATATAACAATACAAAATTGGAGCAGAGCAAACACAGACCACCAAGACATCAGAGGTGAGATCGGATGTCTTGGAGTAGTGAGTTATATATATTTGCATATTATAAAACAGAAATTCTTATTTTTGCTAAAAATAACTTCTAAAGTTAAAACCAAAAAGAGAAATGTTAACAGGCTGAAAAATCGTTCTCTGGTTAAACATTTTTCTCTAGTGTTTATATTCTTTTTATTGTTTAAATATTGAAGAGAAAAGGGCTTTCTTTCTTTAAGTACTTAAAAAAAATGAACAAAATGAATGGTTTAAACATTCGATGTTTCAAATACCTTGCAAAAGATATTGATTGATGACTTAGGAAAATGAGAAATCAAAGTCAACGCTACGAATGATTTATTCTATCAATTACATTACAGTTTAATAAAATAATTTGTATTGTCGGTCTTTATTTCAGTCACTTGGGCATTATAAATCCAAAACTGTGTGATTTTCTTTTAAAAACAACCTATCATTAAAAAGCTTTTTGACTGAAATATTTCGTTCCAACTCCGTTGCAGGTGATGAAGGTATATTGCTGCATAAATAAGGGAACTTGACAATTGAAAAGTTAAAGTCCACGTTTATCATAGAGCTTGGTTGTTAGAATATCAATAACGTCTTTTTCAAGTAAAATATCCAAATACGAAACAGATATGCGAGACTGTCTATCTTTTTATCTTAAGCTCATCGGAATATATCGAATTGACATAAGAATGGAAATAAACAAGGTTAATTGACAATACGTCGTCTAAATATCTAAATGTTTAATTGAAGGTCACAGCAAATTTTTAGATTTTTGACAAATTCTTTTCTGCTTCACAAGAATAAAAAAAATATTTTTGCTAATAATTGGACGAGTTTCAATTTTATTGAAAAAGCAGCTGTCAATAGATATCAAAAAGTCTGGACTTTAATTTGTCGTGGGGAATGGTTGCGTATAAAGTTGAAATGTCGTAAGTTTTTAAGGTGTTGATTTTGGAGTAAACAGTGTGTGTTCTTAACTTGAATTTAGCTGAACAAATACCGTTTTCATGATGTTGATGGGAAAGCTTTACGGTTTCTAGCGACAAATTGAATCTTCATTAATCGAAATATTAAGTCTGTATTCTTGTTTGGCGTAATATGTTTTTTTTTTTAATGCTTTATTTTGCGTAATATGTTTTAAAATAAAGTTTAAAAGGAATAAAAACAATAAATATTTCAGTTATTATTATGCATGCAGAGGCATCTAGCTGTGTCGCTGGTATTAAATATCAAATCATTTTTGGTACTAAGTAAAATTAGAAGGAAATTAAATTCGTCATTAAAATGAAAACTTACAATCAACCGCTAATTTGTATATACATTGCTGATTTTCTTTACAGATAATATTTCGAGTCTGGTTTAGATACGAGGGTGAAAACATTGTGAATTTAGACAACATCAGAGTTACAGAGGGATTGTGTAACGGTTTGTTTTTTATTTAATTTGTATTAAACCTTTCAGATCAATGAATTTTTACTTTGATTTAGCTTCATTTATTCTCATGAGGTTTATGTGTGTTAGGAGTTTTGTTGTTCGTTTATTTTTGGTATTCAGTTTCAAATCTTATTAGTTTATCTAAGAATGAAGTTCAAGGCGTTCAAATCATGGATTTAAAATTGTTCAATATTTTACATTTTCAGTAAGTTGTCCTCTGGACTTATTCCGTTGTACCAGTGGAGAGTGCATTTCACCGACCCTTGTGTGTGATTCTCAGCAAGATTGTGAGGATATGTCAGATGAAAGAACATGTAAATTCTTAAACTTGTTTCAAATTCATAATTTCTAATGAATTGATTTTCTTATAATTATTAACATAATCGAAAGTCTTTTAGAAAATGGTGTTAGCATTACGGTATTGATGCTTTTAATACAAAAATCCGAAATAGAATATTGATTTAATTTGGTGCTTTATCACTTAAGTAATTAAATTATGCAAGGCCAAAAATAGCTATGCATTGTAAAATAGGCCATTTTCTAATTTCCTCCTTTGTTGAAACTCAGAAAAAAAATCTGTCAACATTCATAATATGGGGATTAAAGAAGTGATGTGCCTAAAGTAATGCAAATAACTTGAGAATATGCACTTTTTAAAAACGTTTTAAACTATCTTTAAACGTTTCAGGATGTTTGAATTCATCAACATTTGTCATGCTTTCGGATCACATTAAAAAAAATTGTGCCTAAAAACAGAAATTTAAATAAAAAGTCGTACTAATGAAATATTTCTAATGATAAAATATATTTCTTATCATAAAATTTTAAAAGGCATATTGATAATATTCTGTCCTTACTTTTGCAATAATGCTTTTGTACAATAAATTTAATCTATATGTTTTGTTTGATTTTTTTTTACAATTGTCATTGGGAAGCTTGCAAAACTACTAGACCTGTCTTGCTTCTGTCTTTCTACATGTGAAAGGAGTGCAGTGAAGACGATGAAAATTGAAAATGGCCTATTTTTGTAAATCAAAAGAATCTAAAGCAAATTGAATGTTTGCTATTATTTGTAGGTGATTATGTAGCAGTCAACAATCAATCAAGCGTTAATTCCTCGCAACAAGCCGTGTTAGATATTTCATCTCGTTGCCCTATTTGTCCCCGAGAGAACAACACATTTTGTATAGCTTTCTGTCCCTCGTCTTGTGACTGTTATGGAGATACCTATCTTTGTCAAAGATTTGCTACTTCCGCCTATACCTTTTTCGTCCAACTGTCTGAAGTGGATTGTGATTTCCTCAACATTACAGAATTAGGGCAGGGGATTTATCATCTCGATATTTCTTCATCCCACATTCGTTCATTGAATATCACTGATTATGTCAAAATAGAAAAACTCACAGTGACAGATTCCACTATTGAGACTATCCATATACCTGACCAAATAGTAAATTACGTACAATTTTCAAATTTAAAAACAAATTCAATATCTTTTTTCACCTATTTTATGTACCTGCACGTGGTTGGGAGTCTTCAACAGTTCAGTGCCTCGGCTTTGCTTCATCTACCCTACGTAAACCTTGAACGAAACATTTTGTCCAATGCTACTGTGATATACAAAATTTGGTCCAAGTATGCCTCATTCAAAAATTCTTCGCACAACAAAGCAATCCTCAATAATTGTAACATATATCAAACCAATACTGTGAAGGGTGTGGAAAGTAATTATTTAGATTTGAGTAATAATAAACTGAAGGCGTCTTATGTGTTCAGTGGAACAGAAATATTACTGATAAGAAACAACCTGTTGGAGGACGTAGTCAAATCACTTGAAAGGACTTATATTAAGACCCTGAAGACTCTCGATCTGTCATTCAACAGAATCACGCACCTGCAGCTGAATGACTTCAGTTTCTTTTTTAACCTGGTGTACTTAGATCTACAGTCTAACAACATTTCATGGATCGATGACGAAACGTTTGCGGAATTGAGCAGCTTGTGTTTTCTAGATCTATCCAGTAACTTATTACAAAGTATAAAAAATACTTACTTTCAAAACTTAGAAAAGCTCCAATACCTTTATTTACAGAGAAACCTTATTACTACAGTAGATGTCGAATCTTTCTACTCCTTAAAAAGTCTGGTTATATTAGATTTGTCAAACAATAAGATCACCTCTCTCAAGGGGAAATATTTTCGAAACTTGGAAGAGTTGAGATATCTGTATCTTCAGAATAACAAGTTTCAGGTGTCGGAGGGTATGTTTGATGGCTTGTCTAGTCTCAGCTTAATGCAGGTGGATTTTTTCTCCCTTTGCTGTGCTAAGCCAAGAAATATATACGATATAAAATGCATAGCTCCTGCGAATGAGATATCATCTTGCAGCAATTTAATAGCTGTGCCCATTCTTAATGTCGGGATCTGGTACATTGCACTGTTTGCTTCTTTTGGAAATTTTGTGGTGTTTTGGTACAAGATTATCTATCTGAAGAGACAATCGGCCAGGGCCCACTTTATATTCACCATTAATTTAAACTGGGCTGACTTTGTTATGGGCATTTATCTCTTCATTATTGCCATTGCTAATTTAGTATACAATGGGCGGTACGGTCTAGAGGACTACTCTTGGAGAAACAGCTATTTTTGCACCATTGCTGGAATACTTGCTACACTTTCTAGTGAAACTTCTGCATTTCTTGTATTTTTAATCACAATGGATCGACTTATCGCTATAAAATTTCCGTTTTCTGGGAGAGGGTTTAAAAGAAGTGGAGCAATTTTTCTGTCGGTTCTTTCTTGGCTTGTGTCCCTTTTTCTAGGAATATTGCCTATAATTCCTATGCAGTCTACGTTCTTTGACGGTTACTATGCTAGGTCTGGAATTTGTATTTCCTTACCACTCTCCGTGGTAAAGAAGTCAGGCTGGCAGTACTCTATGGCGGTATTCATTGGATTGAACTTCCTTCTCTTCACGGGAATTTTAATCGGACAAATTGCGATTTTCGTAGAGGTTATTAAAGTTGGAGGAAATGTAACTTCTTCAAGGTCGAAGCAAAGGGAGATAAGTCTGACGAAAAGCTTGGCTGCTATAGTTCTCACCGATATGTTCTGCTGGATCCCGATCGGAACAATAGGTGTGTATTTCCGGTAACTCAGCATAATGCAATTTTTCTTGAGAAGATAAATTTTGATTTAATTGAATATAAATATATTCCTGATTCACATAATGAAACTTTTTTTCTTCATCTTTTGTATTTTCCGTGAAATGCCATTATCTACAAATTATGTTTGCATTGCAAGATATGTAATAAATAACTTTTGAAGTAATATCCATATTTGTTTAACAGGTCTACTGACCTTTTTCGAAATCGATGTGTCCAGTGAAGTTTACGATTGGATTATTGTTATAGTGCTCCCCATCAACTCGGCACTCAATCCAATCATCTACAACTTTACAGCCTTCATGAGGCACAAGGTTAGCGATCCTTACAGATACATAGATAGAGAGAAAACTATATCTAAAGTTAAAAAAGGTTCATGTTTGTAAGTACACATAGAAAGATCTTCATTAATGACAAATGTTTGTAAAAATATTATTATGCTCTTGAAATGATAATACAATAAGAAACTCTCTTTACACAGAGAAGAGTTGAGGCTTCCGAGTCAAATGTCTTAAAACAAGAATGTGCTTTACTTAAAAAGAAGTTGGAGGCTATGCAGGTATTTCCAAATCTCTTTTTTTTGGCTAGGTTTGTTAATATCAGATTAACGTTATGAAAAGAAAAACTTTGTATGATTATGTACGTACTTTTTATATGGTTTAAAATATTAATTATTGTTCATGTTATTGAAGAGTTTGATTAACGATGTTAACCGAACAAATATCAAATAAATCTATTGACAAGTTATATTTGATTACAGTTTTCAATTAATTAAACACAATAATAAAATGTTAATCTTATTTTCACTTTTCAGTCGTTAACCTCAAACTGTACGTGTCAGAATAAAAGGAGTATTGTGGGACAACCGTCTATAAACTTTGACGTTTTTCCAACCGATACTTCGTTTGAAAGAGATACTCAGCAATATGGCTTAGGGGTGACCGTCATAAAAATGGACACAAAATTTTGACGTAAGGCTGCAATAGTCATAAATACAAACAAGTGAAATCCTTCTTGGACATTAGCTATTTTATTTCAATCAAGATGACAATTGTTTATCAAGTGCTTATTTATTAAGTGACGGTTACTAAAAATGCTTTAATTTACATGTTCTATAATAGAAGCAATTAATCTTGTTGAATAATATAACTGACAAGAGTTATACATATATTATATTGATACTGTGTATCATACGCACATAAATTGCTAACTATGCTTTCTGTATGTTGTCTTATGTCGCTGTGGGATTGTTCATTTTATACATATTTTGTTATTTGTTTGAGATGTAAGGTGTTTTACAAGAAAAGAATTAGAATTTCTTTTCATGTTAAATAAAATGATTTTTAATTATAAAAACTATTTAAAGGTCAATCAGATATTGCATAAAACAGTAAATAATATCCTCTTGAAGAAAGAAAATATTTGGACATTATATCAAGTTATATATTTTTAAACAGTTTGGTGCTTGTGAGAAATATATTATCAGAAATAAATGAATAATTAAAAAAAATAGATTGATAAATATCAGTTGCTTCATATCAATACTTATTGTAAGAAGCGTCAACCATTTTTATGAACATTGTCAGTCATTTAGATTTTAGAGAATGTTAATTGAAGTGAGTAAAAATAAATCTGTTGCTAAGGAATTCCAATTATTTCTGATTTTGATTTTTCTCACATTGTTAACAGATTATACATTATACAGCATTTTTTTTAATGAAATTTGTATTTGTAGAGACCCTTAGATAAAAAGTAAATTCATCAATTAAAAATGTTAAATTAAGTATTCGCATATTTGTTGTTCTTCGAGACTTGAACCTCATGAGATGTTGAGTAATGTCTATGTTGTGCCTGATCTGTGGGAAAGGTTATAATAATGTCCAAGCATGCTACCACACCAAATTGGCACAGTTATTTTTTTTAACAAAACAAACTGATTTGAAAAAGACACTACGAGGACTGTTCAATAAATAATGTCATGAGCTCGATGACATACAACATAGAAATCATATGACATTTAGCTTAACTTTTTCTCATTATTGGACCTTTCATGATTTTATAACAGTTTATTTGACCACTGTTCATCACAGATTTCAATGTGAGAAGTTGGAAAACAAGGAATATTCGAGATACTGCATTAAAAATAAATGGTCAAGAATCCGTAAACTCGAGTGAAATTAAACACTTTGTTAAAGCTGTTATAAACCTTGTTAAGAATCCCAAAGAAATATTAATTGAAATATGTAAAATTTACAGCAACCAATGTCTGTTTTTTACACACATGAGCAGGCGGATTTCAATGACCAAAAATGATATAATTGGCATCAAAAATGGGTACTGTCCTTGGCGACAAGGACTTACAACAACCAAAGAACTGTTTGAGAAAATTCGAAAAATTATCACTGATTATATTTGATTGACTTTAAGAACACAGAAAATTTGATAGGCATCATTTTGGGGATAGTTCACAATGTTTAAAAAAATTATTTGACAGTAAAAAAGCTTAATACTCAAAGGCCATCCTATGTTTTGAAAAATGAGTGAAAACGACCATGTGAAAGAATATCTAAACAATTATTTTTAAAAAAAACCCAAAAATTGTACTTATCCACGTTTGTCTGAAATTCAAACAGATAATGAAACGAACTCCTTGCTTTAAACCCTCAAAACAAATTTACAATAAGATGCACTTGATAAAAAGGTCCGAGAAGAGCAAAGAATTGCAAGAGCACAAAAATAGGTTTATACGCTATTTTCTTAAATATTAGTGGTCATGTGGTTCAAATTCTTCTTCGGGGAGGCAGTTCAATTTGTTGAGGAATCTAGAAAGCAAACATTTTGCAAAAAAAAATCGAAAGGTTTATTTATGAGAGGGAGGAACCAGAATCATGAATCCACTACATTAAATGTCTTCATGATAGCGTCCAAACCCAGAGGCCCTGAAGAGTAAAGGAGTTTTGGGGATAAACAGAGAGTTAATGTTTTTTCACACCAACAATATTCGCCAGATCTTTCACCATTGACTTGTTTCATTTCCCAAATTTGAAAAGAAAACGCCTTCAGAAGAAAAAAAACAAGCACAGGAAATCATAGGATCTGCCATACTCCAGTATACGAAGGGTCATACTCAAAAACGTGTTCTAAAACAATCAGAAACGGGATAAAAATATTACGGATATGTGTTTTAATTAAAAGAGAATATTTAAGTAAAATCATTAATACTAAATCATTGAAGTGTTTTTGTTTATTTCCCAGCACCGATAGCATTATTTATTGAAGTCGTATTAATAGAAATAAAAATATAGATATAAAAATATAATAGTTACAGGAAGGGAAATTAAAACAAATGAAAATACATATACATTTTTCAAAGATAAACAATAAGCAGTTAAATTACATGAGAGAGAGAGAGAGAGAGAGAGAGAGAGAGAGACGCGACTTTTAAAGTTTACTTAGGTAGCTTTAAAATTTACACCTTATTAGTGCTCCTCCATGGGATCCAACTCTGATGTTTTGGAAGTCATTCTGTGTTTGCTCTGCTCCTATTTTGTATTATTTAATGGACTTTTGAGCATGAATATTGTACGTTATCTTCATATATTTCATTTTGAAAGATGTTTTCAATTTGTACATAATTCATTTCGATAGGTTATAGATGCATGTCCTTGTGACGGAAGAAACATGATTTAGTTAATGAAAACTAAATACATGTATCCTTGTCAATCAAATGTTTCGTTAGAACCAAAATTCCATGATAATGTATTTAAAATCTTTATTGTATTTTCCATTTTTTATGGATTCACAAAAAGCATGAGAGAGAGAGAGAGAGAGAGAGAGAGAGAGAGAGAGAGAGAGAGAGAGAGCAAAAACTCCAAAAACGAAAAACATAGAAGACAAATGTGCAAACTTTGTAAAAATTTATTTGCACATTTCTTTAGTGACTAGATTGTCGCTTGAACCCTGCCTGACAATGTTTGTATGTACACGCTTTTCTTTACTTGCGAAGTTATCAATAAAAAGAATTAACATGTGCACTTTCACATACTCATTACAGGACTTAGCTACAGTCTTTATTCCGTTTATGTTTTCATTATTGGTTAACTCTCTTTAATTGACATCTGGCACTGGATTGTCGTCTGGTCTGCAACAGGTAATCTATTGATCTCGATTTGTACTTGATCTTGGACTTTTGAATGACAATATTTCATGCTTCTTATTGTAAGCCTGTAGTCTATGATTTTTGTAAGTAAAAAGTATATACGTAGATCAAAAGCCCAAGGCATATAGTATTTATCAAAATATTTTGAGTTTGATATACTAGAGTTGTCTACTTCGTTGCTTAACTTCTTCTGCGTAATTATGTATTGACCTACCTTCTGATACATTATTAGTTTCAGTACTGAGCTTAACTGCATGAAGAGCAAATTAATTACAATTTATCTTTGGTTAGAGTACTTAAAGTTTGAATATTTTTTATGACATAAAACACATTAGATCGAAATGTGTAAAGCAGATTACTAAATCCGGAAAAAAATTTGCACAATTTGAATAAGGAATAGTGAAAATCATCAAAACGAATTTAATTGTGCGAAACAAACTTTTGATGTCGTTATTAGAAATTCAGCAAATTACTTGTAACAAAATGTCGTTAAAATTTATAAGAAATAAATTCGTTTTTATACATTTGACGAATTCTAAGGATGAAGTCAAAAATTTATTGATAGTTCTTTAATGGGCTTCCAAGCCAAAGTACATACCAGAGAGCAGATAAATTTAAAAAAAGAAAAAAGAAAGTCTACTTGAAATAAATCTAAATGTTACTTACACATATCTTATTGTTGGCGAACATGTGGAGATGAGCTCAAAAGTCCACTTAATACTTAGTATTACAAAATAAGTGAAGAGAAAACGCGGACTTATAAAATCTTACAGGTGGGATCAGGTGCCATGGACATGATGGGGGAGTGAGCATTTTCTGCCGACCGGTCACACCCGCCGTGTGCTCCTTGTCGTGTTCGGAAAAATCTTTAGGACAATTTAGAGTGTAAGTAATGACCCCAACAATAAACTACAGATTTTCCCCGTCTTAACCAAACATGACAAAGAGCACACGGCGGGCATGACCGGTCGGAAGGGGATGCTCACTCCTACATGGAACTTGATCCCACCTCTCTTATGTTTGGAGGCCCTTAGTGTGTCTGCTCCTCATCTGTACTGTTTGAAGGAACTTTTTGTACTTGAATACTGTTCGCTATCTCTATGTTTCATTTTAAGATTTAGTTATTTTGAAAAAAGATAAAGATTACAAGCAGTGATCATTCTCATAAAAAATAACTTTTAACAATACATGTCTGTGAACAGGGCATAAACACGGCCCATGTAAATTCCAGAGGTAGGATCAGGTGCGTAGGTGGAGTAAACATCCTCTGTTGACTGGTAAAGGGCTGCATATCTATTCCTTTACGTGGCACACAGGGCCATTGTACAGTTAAGACTTTTTTTACGTGCCAACACCTTTCGCGACTCGGTTAAAACGGCTCAACTCAAGGACCGATGTCCACAAGTTTATTCGGACCTGCGACGTAAGAATCAACCTCTTATTCCGTGATTGTAAAAAAACGCTAAAGTTAAATAACTACACACTGTACTGCGCCATGCGGGCTAATTAACAAATTGCTGACTTTATATAAGTTGTTGGAATCAATGTAACTTTAGGCTTAGTTAGGAGACAAAAATACCACATGCAGCTGATAGCGGAATATCACTACATAAACAAGTTGACAATGGAAAAGTTGAAGTAATCTTATTTTTGATGACATTTAGTTTTAAGTTGATTTTTAGTTCATCATCCAAATATAAAACAGACGTGGCAGACCCTGTTGTGTGTTTTATTGAAGTTAATTGGCAGTTTTTAGTTTCTATTATGAAATATGAAGAAGAAGTATATATGGATTCAAAGAACAATATAATCAAGCTCTAAGGTCGATTAGAACTATACAAAAGCAAACACAGACTTCTGAAAAAAAACATGGTTGGGCCAGGTGCCACTTATTAGAAGGCATCTCCTGTCGACCGGTTATATCCGCCTAGT